TGCACGTATTTACCAATCATAAGGCAACAAAATGTATTTTAATAAAATTTAATGAAAATTATTGATTTTAATTTATTATAGTCATACCTAGTAAGAAAAATGTTTTGTTTAACTAGTAGGTTTTATATTCAAAGTGCTACCTGCAATAGTTATCAAATTTAGTATATTATTCATAAATATTTTTATTTTAGACCCTTTTTGTGGTGGATGAAGTAAGCGATATTATTAAGGATTCAATCGAACATTCAATCGGCAGTCAATTGTACCAACAAAATATGGTAAACAAATGGACAGATTCTGTAGTTGAAAATTGTCTAACAAGACTTTGTAAATTGGCCAAACCTTTTAAATATATAGGTAAAGAAGAAATTTTATAGATTTTTTTGTTTTAAATTATTTAATTCACAGCCTGCTATAGGTATTTTGTCACATGGTACGATATTAAAATATGTCCATATCTCTGGTAAAAGTATAGCTGGCGTTGGGTTGATTTATAACTATTGTAATACAACTTTTAAATTTAATCATAATTGTTTTTTTTTTTTTGGCAGTGACGTGTGCCATCATGCAAAAAAATGGTGCTGGTTTTCATGCAGCAAGTTCGTGTTATTGGGATAACTTGACAGATGGTAGTTGTACCGTTAGATGGGAAAACAAAACTATGTATGTCATTGTATCAGTTTTTGGCCTAGCCATATGAATAATCAAATTAAACTTTTGTACAAAAATACTTACATGYTTACACTATTGAATAAATAATTATATGTTTTGATTTTTAATACAACAGGTATGAAACAATAAAAATATTTTCATACTTTTAGTTTTGTCATATCATAATCAGTAAAATTATAATTGATTTTTTACAATACATCTTAATTAGAATATTAATATAGATTTTATTTATGTGATAAAAGTATGTATTGGTCGATAAAACATTAATAACCTGAAACTAGTTAAATAACTAAGTATCAATAAAAATTGTTATTTTTAATTATAGCTATTGAATAATAAATTTTGTATTTTAATTTTGATATTTATTTTATGTAAAGGTATAAGGATCAATCGTGTACAATGATCATTATTTATTATTAGCTGTATTTTAACAAAAAGTATAAATGTAAAATGTATTATACTATTGTTGTTCTGATAAACTGATTGTGTTTTATTTTAATAAAATCATATTTAAATAACAAATAAATCTTTTTAATTTACTTATATGCAAAGTTGTATCTGTGTATCAACTTTTTCAAACCCAAAAATATGTATATTTAACCGTAAATTTTATTAGTTTACAATTCACATTTATTTGTAGTTATCTTAAATGTGTAATACTTATTATTTGTGAAGTTACTTTTAAAACCATCTCATCTAATTTTAACTATTTGAAAAATATACATTGAAATTATAATCGGTAAAAGATATCCAGTGTTATATAATTTATTTTTATCATGTTATTTATTACTTTTTCAAATTATTTAATTTGAATTTATTAACTATAATTATTACTATAGTTAATTAACTTATTTAGGCCAATACTATGAGGCATTTAATAAGTTGATAAAATTATATTTATATTTTTGTTTATAAAATTTGTTTTTGTATCAGTAAAATTAAATAGCATTCTTAAAAAATAAAAATGATAAATAACTTTATAAGATATAACATTATTTTTATTATACACAAACACTATAAAATATACATTTAAATCAATATCAATAACATATTTATAAATCAAATCAATTGAATATTATTATTGCTTTTGTTGTCTATCTTCATCTTTAATTAAACCTGGAACTCTGTACAAAAAGTCACCATTATCATCATAAAAACAATCGTTAACTCTATACGTGTATCCTTTTTTCCAAACTTTTTTCGGTATTCGAATAGCAAGTGGATAATCAATTATTGTATCAATAAATGCAGAAACTTCTTGACGTGAAACTACGCTTGTATTCTCTTGTAAACTGGCTTCTACTTTTTCTACATCGACACTTTTATTATTTGTTGGCAATGTTTTTGGTGTGGTATACAATGAAGATTCGTTTTGGGAACTACTTTGGAATTCTTCTAATGTGTAATGCCTCTTACTGGTTTTAGTTGTTGTGTCGTTTTCATAAATCATCTCAATATTTGGTTTATCTTTAGTTTCAATTTGAATAGGTTCATCAATTGRATTGGTGATTTCACCAAGGTAACTAGTTATTATTTGTCCAAATTCCTGAGGTTTTAAGTAATCTGCAGCTAGTTTAGGGATATGAGCTTCAGCTTCTGCAAAATAAATTTATTCAAAATTATCAAAAT